TGTAGTCTAACAAATTCAGGTGTTGCTAGTTTTGGAAACCAGCAGCAGTCACTTAACACAATTCTAAAAGTAGCAGTAACAGCAACATGAAAAGTACTAATAATATAGGATGGTGTAAAATAAAAATGCAGTAGGCAGTTTCAGTAGAATTCTGCATTAATAAAGACTAATTAAAACATGACAAAATATAGGCAAGTTTCCAAGTTCCCTAGAGCTAAAATACGAAATTTTCCATTAGTCAGAAACAGAGCACACAGTTCCCCTTCTGATGACACTGGACTGCAATTCCCATTTGCTGGCCCTACCCAATACGGATCATGATGAAGGGTACAGCTTGCAAATATATGTATGTGTTTCCAAGTTGCCTGCTGACTTATACTATTCCCATGTATTTCATCGGGTTTTCTTAGGCAAGTAATACTCAGAAGTTGTTTTGCCAGTTTCTTCCTCTGGAATATAGCCTGTAGTTCCTGGTATTCCTTGGTGCCCCCCCCCCCCATCCCAGTAGTAACCAGGTCTGAGCCTCCTTAGCTTCCAGACAGAACCCCAAAGGTCCCATTTTGTGGTCGAAACTCTCAAATTGCTCCAAACTAGCATGACACTTTCGCAAGAGACTTGAATTGGGAAACACAGATTTCCAGTGCCGTGCCCCACTGCATTGCTTCCGGACTGAGCCGAGATTGCATCACAAGTCAAGGCAATAAAATCAGGAACACTTCATAAAAGCGGCCTTTATTTCCTAGGGCATCCTAGCCTGCTTTTTCCAGTGCACATAACACACCCACACCTGGGGCAAGGAGTGAAGAAACACGGCAGAGAAAGTCCTTATATCTGGTATCTTTTATTTGGAAATGCAAAATACTCCAAAATCTGAGTTGCTGAGATAGTGGCATATTTCCTTTCTGAAGAGGCAGTGGATAAACACCTGTCTTCATGCCTCAAATTATATAATATTATAGCCAAACGTACATTCAGGTGATATGTTTGAACTGTCTGTGAAATATGTAAGTGAATTTCTTGTTGGGACTTGAGTCTGAACTCCAAAATATCACATTATGGATAAGCAAATATTCTGAAATGGGGTAAGGGAATCAACATAATCCCAAATGCTTCTGGTTCCAAATATTTTGGATAAAGGAAACTTAACCTGGGGAAAGTCAGCATGGGATAGTGATTTGAGTGTTGGTCTAAGAGTCCGGAGACATTCCTGTTTGGCTATAGAAAGCAGAGTGGGCTCCTGTCTGTCAGCTTCAGCTTCCCATGCGGTGACATGAATGAAGCCTCCCAAAGGATGGTAAAACATCCAAGTGTGACCTCGGCAACGTCCTTGCAGACGACCAATTCTCTCACAGCAGAAGTGACTTGCAGTTTCGCAAGTCACTCCAATACCAATAATAATAATAATAATAAGAAGAAGAAGAAGAAGAAGAAGAAAGTCATCAGAAAGCTTGGCCAAGTCATGTTCTCTCAGTCTCAGAGGAAAACAAGGCCAACCCCCTTCTGAACAGCTGTTGCCAAGGAAATCATATAACCTTATAGTTGCCATAAGTGTGTCTAAAAGCATATTCAGGTGACATATTCAAGGTGTCTACAAAACAAAAAATGAATTTCCTATTGGGGCTTGGGTCCCAATCCAATATGTCTCACTATTAACATGCAACTATCCCAAAATCTGGTGGGGGGGGGGATCCAAAACACTTCTGGGTTTGCTGCTAAGGTACAGCCAATGTGGTCTGATCAAGTCTGGAGACCAGGGTTTGAGTTCTTACTGGGTGATTTAGGGCAAATCTCAGCTCCAGATCATTCTGTATGAGAGTTGTCTTAAGTCTAAATGACTTGAAGGAAGGCAACAACAACAGTGGAAACTGAGGAGACCGTGCCTGAGGCACTTTTGCATCACCTCTCTTAATCTCTCTACATTGTAGAATGAATTTTGTTTTCTCCTTCGTAGTCTCTGTGAAATGCATACATATGGTAGTTGATGCACCATATGTGTGAATTTCACAGATGACCACTCGAAGAAACATGTTTACAGGTAAGCAACCATCATTTCTCCTTTGTGGTCTCTGTGAAATACACAAATATGGTGCATCAGCTACCTACCATATATGCGAATTTCACAGATGACCACTCAAAGAAACATGGCTACAGGTAAGTGACCATCATTCACCCCACTTGAACTGCCATGGCTGAATGCAATGGAATCATGGGAGTTGTAATTTTACAAAGATTCCCACATTTTCCATCAAAGAGACAGGGAGATTGGCACCCACCAAACTACAATCCTATGATTTCATAGCATCCAGCCATGGCATTTAAACTATGCTGCAAACAAACCATCTTGTCTCTAAATACTCTGCAGGGAGGGGTGGGGGGGCTTGTGCTGAACTCCATGCATTTCACATGCATCTACACTGTAAAAAATAATGCATTTTGACACCACTTGTACTGCCATGGCCCAATGCTATGAACCCATGGGAAATATAGTTTTACAAAATCTTTTGCCTTCTATGTGCAGGTGTATGCCGTACAATACAACAGTGCAAACTATAACTTATATGAGATCCTCTCACCTTTGCAGGAGTCTACTTATACCATGCAGCTGTGGACAAGTCTACATAGGGACCACCAAATGTAGCATTGGCCAAACACAGGCTGTATGGCCATGTACCAAAAGCATTATCTGCTGATGTTTCACCTACATCTATGGCAAGCATCCTCAGCAGTTGTGAGGTCTGTTGGAAAGTGAAGTTTATCTGTAGTAAGGGCCAGAGTGGTAGAAAGAGCTCTTGTATGTTGGAGGCAGGTGTGTATGTTGCAATTGGCTACTTTGATTAGCATTTAATGGCCTTGCATTTTCAAGATCAGGCTGCTTCCTGCCTGAGGGAATTCTTTGTTGGGAGGTGTTAGTTGGCCCTGATTGATTCTTGTCTGGAATTCCCCTGCTTTTTGAGTCTTGCTCTTTATTTAGTGTCCTGATTTTAGAGGTCTTTTAAAAATACTGGTAGCCGGATTCCCCCAGGCAGCTACCAACCAGGCTTTGAAGCTGCAAGGCCATTAATGCTAATCAAGGTGATCATTTGCAACACTCACACCTGCCTCAATCAGACAAGAGTTCTGGCTGGTTGCTGCCTGGGGGGATCCCTTGCTGGGAGGTGTTACCTGGCCCTGATTGATTATTGTCTGGAATTCCCCTGCTTTTTGAGTCTTGCTGTTGATTTACTGTCCTGATTTTAGAGTATCTGAATCCAGACTGCCATATATTCCAGTTAAAAGCAGATGATGTGGGATTTTATTCAGCTGTGTGGAAAGGGCCTTGAACCTCATCACACTTAAGGATGAATCCACTTTATATCCAGTTGCTGCCTCCTGCAGAATTCTGGGCTTTGTAGTTTAAGGAGGATCATATAATCATAGAGTTGGAGGAGACCTCATGGACCATCCAGTCCAACCCCCACCAAGAAGAAGGAAAATCGCATAGTGTCTAGATCTAGAGAAGTCATGCTCTATTCCACTTTGGTTAGACCACACCTGGAATATTGTGTCCAATTCTGGGCACCACAATTCAAGAGAGATATTGACAAGCTGGAATGTGTCCAGAGGAGGGCGACTAAAATGATCAAGCGTCTGGAGAACAAGCCCTATGAGGAGCGGCTTAAGGAGCTGGGCATGTTTAGCCTGAAGAAGAGAAGGCTGAGAGGAGATATGATAGCCATGTATAAATATGTGAGAGGAAGCCACAGGGAGGAGGGAGCAAGTTGTTTTCTGCTTCCCTGGAGACTAGGACACAGCGAACAATGGCTTCAAACTACAAGAGAGGAGATTCCATCTGAACATGAGGAAGAACTTCCTGACTGTGAGAGCCGTTCAGCAGTGGAACTCTCTGCCCCGGAGTGTGGTGGAGGCTCCTTCTTTGGAAGCTTTTAAACAGAGGCTGGATGGCCATCTGTCAGGGGTGATTTGAATGCAATATTCCCCCTTCTTGGCAGGGGGTTGGACTGGATGGCCCATGAGGTCTCTTCCAACTCTTTGATTCTATAATTCTTTGATTCTATGAAAGCACCCCCGACAGATGGCCATCCAGCCTCTGTTTAAAAGCTTCCAAAGAAGGAGCCTCCACCGCACTCCAGGGCAAAGAGTTCCACTGCCGAACAGCTCTCACAGTCAGGAAGTTCTTCCTCATGTTCAGATGGAATCTCCTTTCTTGTAGTTTGAAGCCATTGTCCTGTGTCCTAGTCTTCAGCGAAGCAGAAAACAAGCTTGCTCCCTCCTCCCTGTGACTTCCTCTCACATATTTATACATGGCTATCATATCTCCTCTCAGCCTTCTCTTCTTCAGGCTAAACATGCCCAGCTCCTTAAGCCGCTCCTCATAGGGCTTGTTCTCCAGACCCTTGATCATTTTAGTCGCCCTCCTCTGGACAGATTCCAGCTTGTCAATATCTCTCTTGAATTGTGGTGCCCAGAATTGGACACAATATTCCAGATGTACACAATATTCCAGAGGAGCCTTTAGCAGCCTCACTAAACTACAAACCCCAGAATTCTCTAGGAGGCAGAAACCGGATTTAAAGCGGATTCATTCTCTAGTGTGATGAGGTCAAAAGTGGTGTCAAACGGTAGGCATCCGACAGTGAATATTTGCGACATTCCTCAATGGCACTCTCTGAATGGGATTTTTTTCCCATTCAGGTTTGAAAGGAGAGTGTGAGAGCGCATGGGATGCCGTCGGCACCGCTTCCATGGGTTCTTGGGATGTATAGTTTGGGGAGGCACCGGCACGTTTGGGCAGGAAAGCACCGTGCAAAGCTGCAACTCCCCAACCAAAGCATTGAAACGGGGCGCTCGAAGCGGTGCCAAGGAAGTGCCCTCTTTCTCTCCCAACTCAACTCCGCGCCGACTTTGGCTTCTCCTTTTTCCCTCCCCACTTCGCTTGGCTTTCTTGGCCCGCTCCTCCCCTTCGGCGGGAGTGCTTTGGGGCTGGCCCTCCTCCTCCCGGAGCCTCTCTCGCTCTCTCAACCTCTCTCTTTCTCTCTCTTTTCCCGGAGGCGAAAGTCCTGCGCGCCGTGCGCCTTTCTCTCTCCTCCCGGCGCTCGTGGCTTTCCGAAGCGCTCCCTCCTCCTTTCGGGGTGTCGTGGGGATCCCCGAAGTGCCAGGGCTTTTGGGGAGCAATGCTCCAAAGATGGCGGTAGCAGCGGCGTCCGGAGGTGGCCTTTGGGGACCCAACCGGAGCGGCGCGCTGGAAGTTTTGGTGCGCGACCGCTGGCACCGGGTCTTGGTGAGCCTGGGCGAGGAGGCGCTGGTCCTGAGCGCCGAGGAGGGGGGCGGCGGCGGCGGCGGAGAAGGCGGCCTCTACAACGGGCTCGGGGCGCCGGGCAGCCCTAGCCATGGCCCCAGAGGGGCGGACTCGGCTTCCGTCCGGACGGCGTTCACCGACCTGCCCGAGCAAGTGCCCGAAGCCTTAGCCAACGCCAAGCGGCGCGTCAAGGTGCTCAAGCAGGAGGCGGGCGGCTTGGGCATCAGCATCAAGGGCGGCAAGGAGAACAAGATGCCCATCCTGGTCAGCAAGATCTTCAAGGGACTGGCCGCCGACCAGACCCAGGCGCTCTACGTGGGCGACGCCATCCTCGCCGTCAACGGCGCAGACCTCCGCGACGCCACCCACGACGAGGCCGTGCAGGCGCTCAAGCGGGCCGGGAGGGAGGTCCTCCTCGAAGGTAGGGCTGATGCTCCTCCTGGGCAGCATCCGGCAGGGCTTGGCAGCTCACTTCCTTAGGCGAGCCCTCCGTGTCCCAGTAGGATAGTCTTCCAAGATACCCTAGCTGGCTGTGGAGCCCTATTCTTGACCCGCATCTTCACCCGCAGTGAGGGCAATGGTTTCCAGGTGGGGGTTGGCTTGACACGCCTTCCTCTTGGCACGTTTCTCTCTTTCACCCTCCATTCGTGCCTCTCAAATTCTACAGCACTGCTGGTCACAGCTGACCTCCAGCTGGAGCGCTCAAGGGCCAGGGCTTCCCAGTTCTCAGTGTCTATGCCAGAGTTTTTAAGGTTGGCTTTGAGCCCATCTTTCAATCTCTTTTCCTATCCACCAACATTCTGTTTTCCGTTCTTGAGTTCGGAGTAGAGCAACTGCTTTGGGAGACAGTGGTCGGGCATCCGGACAATGTGGCCGGTCCAGCGGAGTTGATGTTGGAGGACCATCGCTTCAATGCTGGTGGTCTTTGCTTCTTCCAACACACTGAAGGAGCCCCGGTGGTGCAGTGGGTTAAACCCCTGTGCCGGCAGGACTGAAGACCGACAGGTCGCAGGTTCAAATCCAGGGAGAGGTGGATGAGCTCCCTCTATCAGCTCCAGCTCCTCATGCGGGGACATGAGAGAAGCCTCCCACAAGGATGATAAAATCATCAAATCATCCGGGAGTCCCCTGGGCAACGTCCTTGCAGATGGCCAATTCTCTCAGGAGTCACTCCTGACACGACAAAAAAAAAAGCAAAAAAAAAAAAAAAGCACGCTGACCTTTGTCCGCTTGTCTTCCCAAGAGATTTGCAGGATTTTCTGAAGGCAGCACTGATGGAATTGTTCCAGGAGTTGCATGTGATGTCTGTAGACAGTCCACGTCTTCCAAGCATATGACAGGCTTGGGAGGACAATAGCTTTATAGACAAGCACCTTGGTATCCCTACGGATGTCCTGGTCCTCAAACACTCTCTGCTTCATTCAGAAAAAAGCTGCACTCGCAGAGCTCAGGTGGTGTTGTATTTCAGTGTCAATGTTAACTTTTGTGGAGAGGTGGCTGCCAATGTAGCAGAAATGGTCAACATTTTCTAATGTTACACCATTAAGCTGTATCTCTGGCATTGGAGAGAGATTCTGGGGACTGCTGGAACAGCTAGGAGCGAGCTAGGAGCTTTGGGAGAACGTGGGCTGAACACAAGGCAATCTGGTATTTCTTTATTTATCGTGTCAGGAGCGAATCAAACAGTTGTATTCTATTTTTTTAAAAAAAACACAAAGTTTGCAAACTTGGCATTCTATATATTTATACCCCATGCTTTTCACAATAATGGGAGTTAAGGAAGCTTTGCAATTGTGTGCCTTTCTGGAGGTGGCAAAAGTATGATAGCAGGGACCCTACACTAGTAGCTGGGACTCTACACTAGTTGTGCAACATTGGACAGAATTAATGAAGGGAAGACGTGTGCAACATGGGTCAGAAAGGGGGGAGGCAGAAAGGAGGGAAACAACAAACAGCCAAGCATACTGCTTAAGGCGTGTGAAGTAATGTTAGAGTTATTTGCTGTGAAATAATAAACAACGGCTTACAAAGATGGTAAACGGGGTAGAAATGTTTCCTCTCTCCCTTTCTGGTGAACAATGTTCCCAGTACTCTGATGTAGCTGCGTCTCATACTCGCTCTGCTGTCTCGCACACCTCTTCCCTTCCTTAATTCACAGCTGCTTTATGCAACTAGCGTAGTGTTGGGTCCCAGTTATCATACTTTTGCCCTGAAGGTTTTTCACCCTGCAGTGAGTGACTGCATCTGCAATTATAGTGATTGTTGTTGTTTATTCATTCAGTCACTTCTGACTCTTCATGACCTCATGGACCAGCCCACGCCAGAGCTCCTTGTCGGCTATCACTACCTCCAGCTCCTTCAAGGGCAATCCAGTCACATCAGGGATCCCATCCATCCATCCTTTCCTTGGTCGGCCCCTCTTCCTTTTTCCTGCAATTTCTCCCAGCATCATAGTCTTCTCCAAGCTTTCCTGTTTTCTCATGATGTAGCCAAAGTACTTCCTCTGTGCCTCTATTATCCTTCCCTTCAATGAGCAGTCGGGCTTTATTTCCTGAAGTATGGACTGGTTGGATCTTCTCACGGTCCAAGGAACTCTCAGTATTTTCCTCAAACATCACAGTTCAAAAGCGTCTATCTTCCTTTGCTCAACCTTTCTTATGGTCTACTTCGCACATCCGTAGGTCACTACGGGGAATACCATTGCTTTAACTGTGTGGTTCTTCATTGCCAGTGTGATGTCTCTACTCTTCACTATTTTATTGAGATTGGTCATTGCTCTCCTCCCAAGAAGTATATGTCTTCTGATTTCCTGGCTGCAGTCTGTGTCTGCAGTAATCTTTGTGCCTAGAAATACAAAGTCTGTCACTGCCTCCACTTTTTCTCCCTCTATTTGCCAGTTGTCAATCAGTCCGGTTGCCAGAATCTTGGTTTTTTTTAATGTTTTAACTGCAACCCAGCTTTTGCACTTTCTTCTTTCACCTTGATTAGAAGGCTCTTCAGCTCCTCCTCGCTTTTGGCCATCAAAGTGGTATCATCTGCGTATCTAAGGTTGTTAATGTTTCTTCCAGCAATTTTAACCCCAGCCTTGCATTCCTCAAGCCCTGCACACATTATGTGTTCTTCATTCAAGTTGAATAGATTGGATGAGAGTAGGCTGTTAGGAATTGTGGGAGTTGAAGTCCAAAACACCAGGAGGGCCCAAGTTGGCCCATGCCTGCTCTAGAGGAAGGCCATAGTCCCACTCTATTCTGCTTCCTACTCTATTTATCAGGAGGTGGTCCTTCAAGATAAGGCTCCCAACTCAAGCGGGAGGGAAAGTTTTAATGTTTTATGGTCTTGGAAAGGAAGGCTGGCACCTGACTTGACAACAGTCCATGTGAAAGGGATCTAGGAGTTTTGGTAGGCTGCCACCTGAACATAAGTCAGCAGTGTGATAAAAAGCCAATGCAATATATAGTGTATATATAGTGTATAGAGCAGTGGTTCCCAAACTTTGAGGACTTCAACTCCCACAATTGCTAACAGTTGGCAGGGATTTCTGGGAGTTGGAGTCTCAAAAAACTGGAGGAACAAAGCTTGGGAACCACCGAACTAGTCCCACTGTATTCTGCTTTGGGCCATGGGAGGCAGTCCTCCAAGATAAGGATCATGTTTTATGTTTTGGAAAGAACAGACTATGTGAAAGGGATCTAGGAGTCTTGGTAGACAACAAATTGAATACAGGTCAGCAATGTTATGCCACAGCTAAAGAAGCCAATGCATTTCTGATTCTATAGTGTCTATACTGGGAGGTCATCAGTCCCACTCTATTCTGCTTTGGACAGGTAGGTTGGTGGTCCTGAAAGGTAACTTCAGGGGGATAAACGGTTTCCATGTTTTATGGTCATGGAAAGGAAGGAAAAAGCCAGGTAGGTTGCATATCACCTTCCATGAAAATATATATGTGGGTCTCCAGGTGTTTTGGCTTACCACTGCCACAGATCCCAGCCAGATTCCAGCTGTTAGGATTTCTGGGAGTTGAATGCAAAAATATCTGGTCAGCCACAGGTTGGGAACCACTGATCTGGGCCTTTTGCTTTAGGTGCCCTGGCTAAATCTGAAAGTCTTTGGTAGGATACAGGCTGAGTATCCCTTATTCAAAATGCTTGGAACCCAGAGGTGTTTTGGAGTTCTGATTCCCCCCTCCCCAAGTTTGGAATACTTGTATCTTTGTATCTGTACATAATCTTGGAGATGTCCAAGTCCAAACATGAAATTCATTTATGCTTCATATATTTAACTCACACACTTAGCTTGAAGGTAATTTTATACAATAATTATAATTTTGTGCATAAAACAAAGTATGTGTACAACTGGACTCCGGGAAAGCAAAGATGGCATTTTCTCAGCCACCCATGTTTATTTATTTATTTATTTATTTATTTATTTATTTATTTATTTATTGCCCATGTGGGCAATTTTTGAGTATTTTGAATTCTGGATCAGGAATCTGCAACCTGAAACACATGATTTTGGCATCACATATGGTTTCTTGTGACATGTTTGTTTTTGAGACCATATGAGCAGTTTATGGTGCCCTTTGTGGGAATTCTGCTCTTACAAATAGCAGGAAAGGGTATCATGCCCCATATCTGCCTGTTTTTTATGTACAGATAAGACCCATACATTTAGCAAGGTAAAGGTACAGGTTTCCCCTTGACATTTAGTCATGTCCAACTCTTGGTGGTGATGCTCATCTCCATTTCGAAGCTGAAGAACCGGCATTGTCCATAGATGCCTCCTAGGTCATGTGGCCAGCATGACTGCATGGAGCATCGTTACCTTCCCACCTATTGATCACATTTGAATGTTTTCAAACTGCTAGGTTGGCAGAAGCTGTGGCTAACAGTGGGAGTTCACCCCACTCCCTGGATTCGAACTGTTGACCTTTTGGTCAGCAAGTTCAGCAGCTCAGCGATTTAACCCACTGTGCCACTGAGGGCTTCAATATATTCAGTAGGAAACATAATTCTAACCAGAGTAAATATTTCTGTTCCAGTCAGAGTTCTTTGGGATTCGAGATTACAATGGCACTGATGTGAGACAACTAGCCCGGTGTATTTCTTCCTTAATGACTTCAGGCAGCAGATTTTGTATGTCTCGAAAAAGCAGCAAATTAAGTTATTTATTTTATTATGATAGATTTTTTTTCCTGCCAGGAAGTGTAGAGTGGTACATTTGGAATCAAAATAACTGATTTTCGCATAAGTTATTATTCACCTTGATTTGGGAAACAGTGTGCAGTTAGTTATTCTGCTTCAGGCAGCAAGATGTTTCGGGTCAGCCCCAGAACTGATACTTACTATTGTTGGCTGAGATTATGTAGTGTCTTTCCGGCATTTAGGTTAGTCTTGCATGGTTTGGGCTTGTATTCTGGTAAAG